TGTGATTAAATGTGGTCTCTAAATCAGGAATATCTTAAAACCTCTGACTGCCAGAAGCAAGAAAGTAAGAGCAAGGAACAACTAAGAGTCTACTTCCCCTGTTTCCCATACTCTTTTACTGATCACCACTGGGGACTGATTCACAACACACAAGGCTCATTGGTCTGACTGAATATGGAAGTTCTTTTGTCTTTATGTTGTGGCTTCAATCCTTAAGTCTATTCTGACTGAACTGCTGCAACTTCTTTTCTTATTCCTTCCATACTTGGACCCATGCACCAGGGATGAGTTAGTAGGAGAGTGGAACCAAGACCTTGACCAACGCTTTTTGTCTAAATAGGATCAGGGCAGGAAGCAAATATGGGAAGAGGTTCTTTAATGGAAGTTGGTAGCCTCAGTCCATGGTATCTTGACACATGCCAGACTCTTTGCCCTCCTGAGAAGATAGCTCTCTGCTATCTGTTCTCTCATTCTCCTGATGTTGTCACTGCCACAATCTCCAGATTGTGATATCTTCTTACTGAGGTAAGAATAACCCCAAATTTCCTAGCTTCTAAGTTGTGAGGGAATGCATTCATTGCTGATAACTGTGACTCTAGGAAAACTCAGTTCCCTAACTTATAATATAGCTCAATGTGTTTCAAATTCCACCTCCTCCCATTTGCAATGTGATGTGAATTCCTTTTCAGTGCTGCCTGTAAGGGCAGTTATTGATGTTTCTGGAGCACAGACTTGCTGACTTTTTCACTCCACAGAGTGACTGCAATAATTCATCAAGGAGAAAGCAACTGTGTCATAGAAGACTGTTGTGACTCTTAAATTTAACAGATTTTCAAAAATGGAAAGGTAATTTTTATGAAAAGCAGGAGTATTTCATTTTAAATTAAAGTTTATAAATTTAAGCTAGCTTCCATCTACCAGGTACCAGGAAAAGACCTGTGAAGGACAAATTACTCCTGTGAGTATAATGATTTTCTTCCTCAGGCTTTGGGATCAGTGAGTATGACAAGGTCAGCTTTGTCCCTTCACCAAACATTAGCTGCGCTGCAGATCTCCTGTTACTCACTAGCTTTGTTGCCCAGTCTAAGACATGTCCTTCATTCACTGTCCACCTCAGACTCCAATCTGGCTACGCAGGTAAACTTTAGGCACAGGATAAGCTCCTGAGCCCAACAGAACAGTCTCATGTGTTTAATGCCTGTAATGAATGGACCCTGGTCTCAGTCAGTATGCCTCTAGATGCTTTACACATGCTAAATAATGATAATAACATTCACCAGCAGTGGCTGTAAATGAGAACAGCTTTCTCAGGTGGCTGGCAAGAGATCTTTCCCTTCTTACATCAATTGATTTTGCTGCAGTCCTCCACTGCTGTGCCCTGCAGCCTCCACACACTATATTAACCCTGCTGTTTCTCCCTCCCCAGTATGAACCTGACACAGTTATTTCTCAAGCTTTTCCTGCTCTTGGCTATGAATTGCTTTACTACCACTGTGATTTCTGTGCTAGTAGTAGTTAGAAGATGGAAACAAAGAGAAACCGTGTGCTCTGGGCTCTCTACAAACAAAAGCAAACTTTGAGTCTCCAGTTGAGATTCTTACTAAAAGAAAAGGAAAGGAAAAAAAATTTAAAAAGAGAAAAGGTTAAAACCATTCTGTGCCTGGGGTTATGTCACTGCCTGAGCCATTGAGAAGCTCTGCAGCACTTTGAGACTTGTGTTTCTCAGCCTGACTGTAATGCTGCTTCCATTAAAACCCTAACTGCTGTTAACACCAGCAGAGTAGTGGCCCAGATATGACAAAAGCAAATCCTGCCCCTCTCCTGTTTGTGCTGCTTTGCAGAGGCGTGTGGTGGTGAGTGTGACTGAGGAGAGACTTCAGCTGGAAAAGCAAAATGTTTGCTCTACAACCTATTCTTCCTGGCTCTGTTAGCCCCAAAGACATGAAGCTTTTTGGCAGGTTAAAGCAACTACTCACCACCCATGCCATACATAGAGTGTCTCAGAAGGGGAATGAAGCCATGGTACAAGGTTGCCTAAAGTGTGGCTTTTGCTAAAGGTAGTGGGACATGGGAGCCAATTGTCCCTGTTTTGTGTCCAAAACACTATTTGACAAGGCTTCAGCCTTCCTTTTGGTAAATTCCAGGTGCTAGCCACATTTATACTTTACTTAATTTTACACCAGGAACACATCTTCCCTCTGCACATGTGGCTTTTTGTAAATAAGTAGAGTTTTGATCATAATTATCTGTAGAGCCTGGGGGTTCCCAATACAGACCAGACCGTCTTGCTCTGGATCCTGAACAGACATAAATAAGAGTTTGCCTCTGCCCCAAGCATCTTACAATCCAAAAAGGTCAATGGTTAGATGCAGACAGGTGGACAAAGAAGATAAAATGGTGTGAACCAAGAAGAAGTAAGAAGGGCAAACATCATGCAGCTAGTATATGCTGAGGTTGTCTTTACATTCCAAGACACAGAAGAGGATGTGATTTTAATGACTAGGATCTTACTGAGGGGAAAAGCTCTTTTTAGGAACTGAACAAGAGGTCTACAATGATTTGTTTGATCCTGTTTCTTTCTGCAGCCAGTCCAATGGCCTACTGTAAGTCTTGTGGGAGTAAGGTTTCTTCTAGAAAGATTTAGTGAAGTTCCAGTATATGGGATGATTAAACTACACCTAAAGGGAGCCATATAGCAAGGGTTATTGTGGGTTTTTTTTCCTTTATCTTCTCTTTGTAAAAGAAATACATTCAGGTGGCAAGTGTGCTGGATCTGTTTTGTTGTTAGAGCTCTCAAGAGCAATTAATTTAATGACAGTAACTCTGCAGTTTGACCTGAATTTCTTCAGTTTCTAGTCCCCTGCCTCCCTTTCCCCCTAGAAGCAGTATTTCAAACTCCTTCCTTAATCTGCTAATCCTTAACCTGAAGAGAGTGAATAAAACATCTAGATGAACAGCAGCCACAGGGCATTTTATGTGCAGAAAGATCAACAGAGAACAGGCCTTAATAGCATGTTTCAGAGTCCATCCAGAGCCAGATGGGTTCCTGGGGTTCAACGTGAAAGGCGGCAGGTGTTGGTTGCCTAGTTTCTTTGAAAACCTAACTGTGAAGCTTTGCCTTTTGTCAGAAGTGAAATTTTCAGTGATATGTGTCTCTGGCATGTTCCCTGGTAGCATGAGTTACACAGAGAAAAGCTTTGGGGTTTTGTAGCCTAAATAAAAGTGAATGGATCTGAGCAGCTGGAGATTGGTTTTCCAAATTGATTCCAATCATGAGTCACTGAGGCTGTCAAAACCAAATATCAATTTGATACCTGGAGCCTGAGTTGTTAAACTATTTTGACATTGACTTAGTAGGGTTATATCTCTGAGCATCTTTCAGTATCTCATATGTGGGAGGTCTTCTATTTGTCTTTTTGCTGGACTGCTGTGAAATCTTTGAAAGACTTTTGAGGCTGAAGGACATAACAGAATTACTTCTGGCCCTTAAACTGACTAATCGAGTCCTAGAAAAAAAGTGGAATAAGTGTTTTATGATTGCAAAATAGTGTTTGTTATGAAGGCTGGCTTGTTTGTCATGCAGAAGACCTGAGGCAACAGCAAAGTTGGTGGCTGGATTGTGCCTTCTCTTTTTGCTGTCAGTGGGATGAGCTACAGTCAGATACAGTTGAGTAGGTTTGAGAACACCACTTTCTGTGTTGGTTCAATGTTATTTGACAGCTTCCTCTGCAAGGATGGAGACTGATATGGCAAATGAAGAATCCTAATGTGATGATCCCAGGAAATGCACTGGCTATTGGAACCCCTGTGGAATTTATTTTATTAACTGGAGTGTAGCTGAGAAAAGAACATTTAATTGCAAAATTGCAACTTGGCACTCCTTCCTTTACCATTTCACAAAGAATGAAAAGGCAAATGATCTTGTCTCAGATGAATGAGAAACTTTCTGTCTGGCTTCAGTGATACTTCAGTTGCTGCCATCAGCATCATGCACTGGCTGCCTCCTGGAGCCATTTTCAGCAGCAGGCGCTATTTAAGATGTCCCCTCTTTTGTTTTATGGCACTGTGTCCCAACTCATTTTAGCTCATATTTTACATTGCACTTATATTTTACATTTTCATCTAAAAGGGGGTTGGGAAAGGTCTAAAACCAGACACAGATATTTTCTGGTGAAGGAGAACATGCTGCTTTACCTTAAGAAAGCTCAGTACAGCCAACTGATCTCAGGACTGGAAACCAGGCAGTCCATGCTCCCCTATCACACTAGTAAGTCTGAAAACTTTGAACTTCACACACATGGAGTTCAACAGATTGACTGAAGGTAAACTATTACAGTTTTTCCATGATGGAGCAGATATTTGTCACCAAATCTCCCTCTGTGAACAATGCCACAGACTCCAGTGCAGCCTTATTGTTTAGAGATTTATCAATTCTTGTTGATATTATAATAGAGCTGATGGGTTGGAGTGGAGGGGAGCAAAACTGATAACCAAAGATGAAATGACCATTTGAATATTTGGATCTTTTTAGTAGATCCTGTTTCACTTGCTTGGATTGATTATTGTCAAATGGACCTCCTCATGTTATCAAGACAAATTGTTGTACATGGCTTTGCAAAAGTTATGCTGTGTGGTTTCTGGAAGAAAGGTGTATAACAAGGAAAAGAAGCACAGATTTTTCCATCCTCTTGTTGTTCTTTTATATTTATGTTATTTATTTGTGTTGTGACTACACTGAAAAATCAAAGTTTTTGTTTTGACACTGACTGCTATTTACTCCGAGAGCCAGAGATTGTGACCAAACCCAGGTGCACTTGCTGGTAAAGATCTAAGCTACAGACAGCTTCATCAGCTGTTATTGGTGACCCATTGGACAGATGAACCTCTTGTTTATTTTATGTAGTCATTAATGTGTATGTGTATAAATGCACTATATATATATATACACACACATATATATATATATATGTATGATGATTTAACTATATTTCCCTGTTTAGGAGTATCAGATGCCTGCGGAATATTATCCACTGGAACTTGATCACCACATTCATCCTGAGGAATGTGATGTGGTTTCTGCTTCAAATGATAGATCACAACATACATGAAAGCAATGAAGTAAGTAAGCATGTCTCTGCCATGTAGTTTGGGGACGGGCAAGGATCCTGAATTTGTTCAACTGACAGAAATAGTACAAAGGACGTCTATCCACATGCCCAGAGTGACTTTCATGTAATTTCAAAATGATGAATAAAATTAGCTTAGATTTGCTAAATTTTCATTTATTTCCTCATTACTGAGTATCAAAGGGGTTTTTTTAAGTATAGAAAATAATTAATTTATCTGTTGATGCTTAGAGGCAGCTACTTTGTCTCATGACAGTGGGCCTAGAGTCGGTGGGACTCCCAAGAAAATAAGAAATAGGGCCTGGAAGAGTACAATTTTTGCTTGTTGATATCTTTGTGAGTTTTTTAAACAAAATTCCATTTTTCTGCTGATCCTTAAGGATGAAGTTCTGTGATATGGGCTGCATCCAGCAGCAACTCCCTGTTCCTGAAAGGGATGGCTCATTCCTCCAGGGACCCAAATGCTTCACTCCAGCTTCTGCAGCTTCTTTTGCACTAGCTGTGTTCCTTTTCTTCATCCCTTGGGGTGGACTGACCTCTTGGAGACCGAACTCACTAAACTGGTAGAGAACTAATCTAGCCAACAAAAGGCAAGGAGGCGTTTTCTGCTGGCATAACTATCTTAGTCAGCTCTCTGGTGGGTAATTGAGAGTCAAGAGACAGTTCAAGGGACCAGATAGATCCACACAACAAAAAATGGGAAGGCTGATGGTGGCAGTAAGTGAGGCATCTTTGCATGGCATTGAGCTCTCTTGAGAAATACAGCATGTCACCATTTCTCTCACTCGCCGTGTTATTTCTTCTTCACTCAAGTTACTCCCAACTGCAGATGCTTGTCTAAGTGACAATATTGAATCAGTGCCTAAGTAAGTATTGTAATGCCTCCCCCTGTTTAGTCACCTATCAGCACAAATAAGATGAGGATCTCAAAGTGAATTAAAAGCATCCACACCAACAGAAAAAACATTTTTATTTTCTTGGAGAATAATTCTACATTTCCTTGGCAAGTAGTCCTTTTTGGTAGTCCCTTCACAGGGTTTTTTACTGTTCTCTT